GCGTCATCTAGCGTCATATGTTGCCGCGACATCTAACGCTATCTGACGCCATCTAGCGATATCTGACGTCATCTGACGACATCTGTCGCGACGACATCTGACGCAGGCGACATCAAGCGCTGGATAGCGGGATAAGTCAGTTTACGACAGTTCACGCTATCTAGCGCTATATAGCGCCAGATAGCGCTATATAGCGTCAGATGTCGTTGCGACATATAGCGCTAGATAGCGTTAGATAGCGCTAAATAGCGTTAGATAGCGCTAAATAGCGAAGAATTTTGGGTCGTGACAGTCCAGGCTATTTAGCGCTAGATGTCGCTATCTAGCGCTATATGTCGCTGCGTCAGATGTCGTCGCTACATATAGCACAAGATATCATATCCTATCACAGTAACAGTAATCCCAACTCTCTGTGTGTGTGTGTGCTGTGTGTGTGGGTGTGGGTGTGGTCTGTGTGTGTGGGTGTGGTGTGTGGGTGTGGGTGTGGGTGTGGGTGTGGGTGTGGGTGTGGGTGTGGGTGTGGGTGTGGGTGTGGGTGTGGGTGTGGGTGTGGGTGTGTGGGTGTGTGGGTGTGTGGGTGTGTGTGTGTGTGTGTGTGTGTGTGTGTGTGTGTGTGTGTGTGTGTGTGTGTGTGTGTGTGTGTGTGTGTGTGTGTGTGTGTGTGTGTGTGTGTGTGTGTGTGTGTGTGTGTGTGTGTGTGTGTGTGTGTGTGTGTGTGTGTGTGTGTGTGTGTGTGTGTGTGTGTGTGTGTGTGTGTGTGTGTGTGTGTGTGTGTGTGTGTGTGTGTGTGTGTGTGTGTGTGTGTGTGTGTGTGTGTGTGTGTGTGTGTGTGTGTGTGTGTGTGTGTGTGTGTGTGTGTGTGTGTGTGTGTGTGTGTGTGTGAGTGTGTGTGTTAGTGTGTGTGTGTGTGTGTGTGTGTGTGTGTGTGTGTGTGTGTGTGTGTGTGTGTGTGTGTGTGTGTGTGTGTGTGTGTGTGTGTGTGTGTGTGTGTGTGTTTTACTGGGACCGTAAGTGCAGCCTGTCTTTTCCCACCCAATCTTTTTTGTTATTTTTATTTTATATGAAAATTAATTTTCTAGATACCGCTAGATGTCGCAAAAAAAAGGGCGGAAATTTTATGAAAATAGCGCTATCTGTCGCCTGGCGTCAGTGCTGCGTGCTTAGCGTCATCTAGCGTCATCTAGCGTCATCTAGCGTCATCTAGCGTCATATAGCGTCATATAGCGCTAGATAGCGCTAGATAGCGCTAGATAGCGCTAGATAGCGACATTCGAAAGGTGCCGTGCACTTAGCGACAATGTCGCTAATTGGCGTCATCTAGCGTCATCTAGCGTCATTTAGCGTCATCTATCATCATCTGGCGATATTTCACGCTAGATGACGCTAGATGACGCTAGATGACGTCATATGTCGAATTTAAACTATCAGTAAAGGTCCGGCTTCAGTATATTACTTATTATGTATTATCTTTTGATTGGTGGTGATCATGTATACACACGACGTATCTCAAGGTCTTTAGCAAATTAAGGGAGTATCATGCCTTAATAATTGTAACAAATTTCTAGTGCTGTACAGTAATACTCCGTTAACTTTTTACTTCGGAGTTTGATAAAAAGAAAAAGCCGCGGTAGATCTTATCAGCCATAACTACTCTCATACCTTGTTTTTTAGGGAATTATCGTCGCGATTATCGGGTTGAATAACCTAGTCAAATTATGTAATATAATTGATATCCCTTTAGTAACCTGAAAAAGCCTGACAAGGTTGCCCCTCCTTTTAATCCCAAATCTTTATGTCACGGACATGACAAGTAGCAAAGAGGTTTTAATTTCTTTTACTCAAAGCAACCAGGTTTATCTTGAGGCAGCAGATTTCCTTTAAATCGAAGAGAGAAAGATCGTTGAACGAACAAATATAAAAAGAAAGATTTTACAACGACAGCACTACAATTTATAGTGAAATAAAATTTAAAATGAAATGAAAGTAAAAATTAAAACAAAATAGTAATATTAAGTGAAGGACTGACCTACTGACAGTGTCTAGTGTGTCAGCGTCCCACAACAGAGCCATGTCATCCTGAGAACCCACTCAGGATGTGAGACTCATTGTATGCCCTCGATTGAGTTCACCATCTCATTGATCCAAGAACCTGTCTGCTCTAAAAATCCTGCTTCAGATAAATCCTCCAAGAACAACCTATTAAGTTTTTCTAGGTTAACCAGGTAACCATGTAAACCAGTAACCAAGTAACCAGTAACAGGTAACCAGGTAACCAGGTAACCAGGTAATCCTTCCAAGAACAACCTAGTTATAGTTTTTTCTAGGTAACCAGGTATCAGTAACCCAGGTAACCAGGTAACCAGTAACCAGGTATCCTTCCACAAGAACAACCTAGCTATAGTTATTTTCAGGTGACAATTCAGAACAAAGCAATGAACTTTGACTGCGAAAAATGTTTGAGAGTATTGACCAAACCGTAACTATTATTACAAACATAACTAGAACTGTTATAACGAAACTGCAAACGTAAAGATGTATCAATATTACTTACATTTGCACTATCTGTATCGCAAACACTGCTCTTTGGGGCACATCTAATGGGATCTTTAACGGACCATGTAAAACAAAGAAGGCCGTTTCAATGTGCTTCATGAACTTACAATCTTGATTGATGGTCATCAGTAATTTTGTGGGCGTACAGACCTGAAAAGTTTAAAGATATGAATAATTTGATTTATTTATTAATTTATATATTTAGATTTAAAAAACATAAAATCTAGATATTAAATTTATTATATTATTACATAATCTATCACAGAGGGACTATAAACTGTGAATATAGTGGAAATTGCTTATAATACACAATAGTCTCACAATCAGATCCATACCCGAAATTAATGTTCTAAATTTTGTATTTATTCTCAACGATGATTTTAAGAAAGAAAGATAGAAAAAGTCGTTTACTCTGGACAAGCTTAATACAAACTTCTTGTCATTGTAACGTCAAAGACCCTCCCGATTGATGTTTGATTGTATAAAATCCATATTTTCATAATTCACATTAGTAGTTCAGTGTCCCAGATCATGATAATCGTAACATCGTAAAGTGTTGTGACATTTAATTAGTATTGAATAACTGCTGATAATAAAATATGTCATACCTAGCCTATTGCCAATAAACTTTCAGAACATAGAGTGATAACTCCCTGTTTAATAAATGGATTTGAAATATTTAAATTTGACAATAAAATGTATGATAATCATGTATCATCACTATCGATTTGCAGAATATATTTGAACGTGCACGCTGGAACGATCTACTGTCAACTCACAGAGGAACTTATATTTATTTAGAGAAAATTTGTGAAATTCATTTTTAGAGACGGCACTCAACTGAAGATAAAGGAGAGAAGATGAGAAGAGATAGAACAGCCAATCCGTTGAGTCATGAACTCCACGAACGATCCATGACTCCGGTGGAGTCTCACACAGTGCATAAAGTTATCACGTTATACACTGAAATCTTCAAACACACGGGGTGATTGTGCGGTCCCAAATTTTAGTAGAGTAGATGTTCTGTTTGATTCTGAAAAAGTAAATCCTAACAAGGCCCCTGGCCCTGATGGAATTCATGGAAGTCCTCAAAAACTGTGCCCCAAAGCCTTGCATACCCCGTAAGTTTTATTTAACCTTCTTTCTCTAGCGGATGCATGACCCCCTGATTGGAACTGGCACGTGTAGTACCATGCACAAAAGGCGATAAGTATTCGGTTGAGAACTACAGCCTATATCGTTAACATCTCTTGTAATGAAAGTCTTTGAAAGGTGCATAAAACTCATTATACCGCTCATGTTTCTGAATCGTTGTTGACTGACAACAACGGTTTTTGTAATGAACGTTCCATCACAACCCAAATGAATACTTTCACGGACTATCTTGCACTTGCATTGTTAACAGTCCAGACTGATATAATATATTTGATTTGCGAAAGCTTTTGTATAGCGTTTTCGCATAACCTCATTTTAAGTAAATTAAAGAATATTTTAATGTCGTGGACAAGCTTAAATTATTTAATTCCTATCTGAGGGGCACAACAACTAGTAGTGATAGAGCCAAACGTCTCTTCTCCTACCAGTCGGTCTGTGTCCCTCCAATTTCTATACTTGCCCTTTAGTGTTTTGTAATATTTTATAAATGACATTGTTCTCCTGTGTCTCTGAAGCACAATCCAACGCCCTTTATGCAGATTGACACTAAAATTTTAGGAGATCCCTTGTTACCCTGTCCAACACATAATCAAAAATGACAACAACAATTAATGATTGGTCAGTGAGAAATCGAATGAAGTTCCACCCACAAAAGTGCAAAGCCCTCTCTGTGTCCCTGCAAAGAAACGGCGGATACTTGCCATTCAATACCTTCTTTTCTTCTTTATAAACTTTCTGAAAGTGATATTGTCTTGGTGCCCTCTCCAGTCAGATTTAGAGTCGCGAATAAACTCCAGGTTTAATGGGGTGCACAAGTAAAGGCGCTTGTTTCCAAAGCTACCCTACATGACTACTTAAGAGAACATGTCCTTTTCACTACTGAGAAAAGCAGAAAGATCGTTCCTTTTAGCGTTAATTAGGTCCTATATTTGAACATTGTTCTGTCATATGGTCCTCCTCAATCTGCAACTCTCTTCAACATTTGTTGCTATCCCAAAGAGAGGCTATAAATGATCAATGGAACCTTACTTCCGTTATAAAATACATAAACTGCTACGAGCAAAAAAACTATATATTCTCCTGTTAAACAAAGTTAAATTATAACGATCTTATGACCTTCTATAAAATAGTAATAGCATAATTCCAGTTCCCGCGCTCCTACATATATAGTCCATGCCTGTCCAGAGGCAACCGATACACTAGCACAATGCTCAAATAATTGATAAGTCGATACTTCAACTTACATGAGTAACACTGTGCCCCTGCTCGATTCCTTTTCGAAATAGCTTTTTTCATAGGAACGCCTTCTGTTTAGCTCGGATAACCTGGATAAATATTATACATTACAAACTTTTGATCAGCTTAAAGATGGTAAAATAGAATTTTAAAAGGATATTTTATTTCAGCCGGGTTTCATAAATTAGGGATTATATTTAATTGATGGTAGAACTGTATTATTCGATGATTTTGTACATTTAGATCAAGCTCAAAGAAGAAGCACCCCGTCCCCTATTTACCTTCTTTTTGTCTTGAACTTTCTTCAGTCTGTAGAATTCTTCCCTCTCCCTTTCATCGAGCTCTTCAACAATGTATGCTATCGTATTTTCATACCTGAAATTATTATTAGACTGTTTAAAAAAACTCGATAAGTTAAAAAAACTCGATAAGTTAGCTCATATATTTCAAACTAGAGTCCCTTTCCCTGACTCGTTCCCATTCCTAGCCTAAAATACTAAATAGAGAGGTAAACATAACAAATTAAAATATTAACAATCTTCTTTACCAACCTAGGGATGATTACATATTCGATACCGTTAACTCTCCTATTAGTAATCTTAATAGCTTCGTCCAATGTGATAAAGGTAGTCTGCAGAGATGCCAACTCTACCAGGAGTTTTATAGCTTTCTGAGCGGTGTCTTTACACCTGGAGACGGTCTGTCCTCCCTTTCCCAGTCCTGTGCGAGGGAGTGTGCTCATTGTTCGGTAACTTAACTAACTAAATTAACTAAATCAACTATAATAACTTTACCAACTTAATTAACTTAACCAATGAATTGACCGAATAATCTATTTTAAGGACAATATTACCTAATAGTTAAGATAGAATATCAGGGCGTATTATTTAGATGTACCTGTGAGCTGATACACATCACTACCCTCTGTGTGCATGGTAAAGTTAGTGAGCTGAACCCCCGCCACATTGTCCTTTGTGAACTTTATCTTGTTCTGCGCCTTGTCTGCGTTCTGGATAACTGTCTGCCTGAGCAAGGTTAAGACCTGTCTATGAATATGTAGGATGAGATTTCTGCTTAATAACCTTAATTTAAAGTCGGAGAGTGAAATTTGTGCGAGATGTTTGGAGTTGGCTTTCATCACATCACTTTTAACATTACTTACACTTGGTGACTTCCTCTTTCACCATAGAAGGACTCTCGCACTGCGAGTTGAAAGATTCCGACTGGCACCATCGGTACTAGCGGGTTAAATTTTAAAAATAATAATAATATTACTTACGAGATATCTCCGGCAGCATAAGCAGCCTCAGCCAGAGAAAAGTAAACCGCTTTCATCACATCGCCCATCACAGTCTTATTCTCTATTATCTTCTTCAGAGTGGTACGGAATTTCATGGTCAGGGCGTCACTTTTCTTCTTCAGCAGACTGTGCCCTTTTTGCGCTCCCTGGAACGTTGAACATAACAATAATATATTATTTGATAATTCATCAAAGAAAGACACGTGACAGTAATAAACCAATCCATCAGCTTCCATTATTGACCATCCAAACCCCACAGTCACTTTCACGATGTTGTATTAAAAGCAATATGACGGTAAACAAACCTTAAGTCTGACTTTCATCACCGTTAGGATCATTCTGGAGGGGAAGACATTGACCCTGTCTCCTGCACCCATCCTTACTAGGAAAAGGATTGATGAATATCGTTAAAAACTATTGTTACATCTGAAAGCTATGTCAAATATCGTGGAAGATTATGGTTGTGAAGATTGGAATTATTCAAGAAATTGATAAAAGGAAGATGTAGGATCGTATTATTTTAATAACATGTAGGAAATCTGTGAACCCGATAAAGTAGACTTTTGTCATTCACGTCAAATAAATAGGGTAGATAATTATTATATCAAATGATAAATAAATTCATAAAAACTATAAAAGAGTTAAAATAAACAGTCTCTTCCCTTTGGTTTTACCGGGCTTTTCACATTAGTTAGAGCGTAGGGGTAGGGGTAGGGTGGCAGCATGATATAAACTCTGCACAATATTAAGATCACAGAAACAAATTAGTTAGAGCGTAGGGGTAGGGGTAGGGTGGCAGCATGATATAAACTCTGCACAATATTATGATCACAGAAACTTCTTCAGTTATCTCTGAAGAATATGATTACCCCAGCCTTGTCTGAATCTTGTGCATCTTTTTGAAGAACTGAACAGAAATAATCTATAATTCCTTAAACTAACTCCAAATTCCACAATTCCACACCCTCAAAAGATAAGATTTCTCCCCATCAGAGTTTTAGCGTCCATACTAGTCTTCTGAAGGTCCTCGCTAGCGTATTTTAACAGCAACTCCATCTTCTTCTTCCGGAGAAGCTCAATCTCTACGTCTTTTTGTGAGGGAACCTCTAGTGGTGCTATAGTGTGTTGGTCTGAGGTGTCATCTTCCGTATCATCCTCCTTTCTCTTCTCCTAAAGTTTAACGGAATTAGTAAATAATGTGATATCATGACAATAGCAATATGTAGTGACGACAAGAGTCAAGAGTTTAAAATTTAACAACAACAAAGATCTCTCGCCTCCCACGTGAAATTTGAACTTTTGGACCAGAAAAAAGAAATCTAACCAGAAGTTCCTTCCTCCTCTTCTCCTCCTCCTCCCGCTCCTTCTTCTCCTCTTCCTCCAGTTCCTTATCCAATTCTCCTGTCTCTTTCTTCAACTTCCATTCTTCTATCGCCAGATGTCGTGCTGATAACATTAGCTCGGTAAATTCGAGGTTATCGTTTGTAAACAACTACAACCTACTCACAAGTATCAATGACATGATACCAAAGTGTATATAATTATATTGGGTAGTCAGCTAGATTTAAATCATTTAACAGCTGCTTAGGTATCAACATTTTAAATTTGTACAGAATATTTTTGAACCTTTTTTCTCCACCTCCACCTCTAATTTCAACAAAACTCCATCCTCATCATCTAGATAACCATAATAGTACGCATCTATATCCTTCATAAGATCACCTCTATTCTTACGAGGAGGCTGTGGAGGGGCCTCCTCGAATAGTTCCCGCACTCCTGGTAAATCTTTTGCTGCTCCGAAATATTTGTAACCTGTAAGGAGGAGAATTATACATCATGATAGGAATTAAGATGTGTGCCTACTAGTTTTTCGGAATCAAGAAACACATGATAAGAATAAAAATAAATCTTACAAAATCTATTATTAAAACACAACATTGACAAACTAATCCCGTCTAACAAATAAGAAGGTTACGCTCTTGGTGAAGTACTAACCGCGATTGCCTGGCAGCTCTTTCCCCTCGTGATCCAACATTTTAGGTCCTATTTTGTGATAGTTGGGCCCGCCTAGTTCCACTATCCTATCCTGCCTGAAAAACAACTTGTTAGTTTATTATAAAAACAATGGTTATGATTCCCATTTCCCACCGTTATTTCTACATGTGAAACAAGCCGATGATACAAAATTCAGTGTTAATACGGTGATCGTGAGATTTAGTTATCTAAATATGCTTACCAATGTCCCTTTTCCCGGATAAGTTTATTAATTTCGTCGTTCAGATCTCTGATTCTGAATTCTCCCAGACCAGCATTTTGAATTTGGGAAACCTTTCTGGCAATCTCCTTAATGATCTGATGTCTCCATTTCTCAGCTTCTTGGAGACTGTGACATTCTGTTGCAAGATACGGTCTTTTTTCCTGAAGAAATTGATATTGATTATAATCATAAAGAGTGTGATTGTCGACCCTAGGTAATTCATAGACGGCCCCAACTAAATAATATAATGGATGCGTATACGCGCGCGCGCACGCGTAAAGCTTCCTTGATATTTGCCAACAGTTTTACACTACCATTCAAATAATTTTGCGCGCGTTCCGTCGAAATACTTCAGAAGACCCTTTTAACAACAAAACGCATTGGCAACCATATTGACCACTGTGATACTTTAATGTTGACTATTGAATTTCAGTGTATTAACAAGTGAAAGGCTTAACTGAGGTCCACAAACTTTAGATTGTGCATTGGCGACTTATACAAGATATAATGACCGTCATGTTAATAAAGCAGTCAAGGATGCAAAAGAAGCCATCGACACACTCCTCTCAAGTTCCAGTGCTAAAATTGTTGTCTCCCTGCCCACTCCAACTCCTGGCCCAATAAGTGATCTAACAAATCAATTTGTTTCGGAGATCACCCAATTTGTCTCCACTAAAAGAGAGCTTAGTGACTTATACCGGCGCCTCTTCACTGTAAACAACACTGGAAACTTCTCCCGAGCCATCTCTGCTGCTGAGTCATCTGAAGACTCTCCTAACCCTCTGAAGGAAGACCAACTTCATGTCTCAGAGTATGGTCTAAAAAAACTCTGTATGAATATCAAACTTGGCCTATACCGTGCCTTTGGTATGAGATCCTATAGAAAGCAGCCCCCCACAGAGCGTTAGAATAACCATGAAATTCAATAAAAAACAAGCCTCACGAGATCAACTCGCTGTAATGTCCTGGAACATTCAGGACAGCACAGGAGATGGGTCTAACAAATTTGAAAATAAAGAATTTCTTTCAATCCTCAATCAAGCTAACATTCTGTGTCTCCAAGAAACAAAGAAACAAGTTAAGATTGAAGGATACCTTTCTTTTAATAGCAACCGCAAAAATTCTCGCTCAGGAGGGGTCTGCATTCTTGCTGAAAATGATTTAAGAAAAGGTGTCTCTTGTGTGCCTTGTAGCGAATCTGACGATATTATTGTTGTCAAACTTGACAAAAACTTTTTTAAGCTTGATTTTGACCTATTTTTAGTATGTTACTATATTAGCCCTGCATATTCGTCCTATGTCAAAAAAAATCCAGACTATACTGCTAATACTTTCTCCGCTCTTGACTCCATCTGTATCAGACTACGTCAAAAGGGAGAGGTTATCATGTGTGGCGATGCAAATGCAAGAACTGGAAAACTCCCAGACTATATCCTCTCTTGTAATGCACCTGCCATGCATGACATTTACAATGACATTGGACTTGAACATGACATCGAAGAACCCAGAAACAACTCTGACCTGACTATATCTGAACCCCACTGCCAACATTTTCTTGACATGGTTATTAATAACCAACTCAAAATTCTTAATGGCCGTACCCTCGGGGACACCACTGGAAAAATGACCTGTCACAAATACAATGGGAGCAGTGTGGTTGACTATTTCGTAATCACCTCATGGGCAAGGGATCATGTAAACTCTCTCCAAGTGAAGGAGTTTACATCATACTCTGACCATTGTCCATTAGTCTTGAAACTTACCACATTTGAACCATTTGTTGCCAACTTCCAGCTCCCAGACTTTTCTAATTTTCCTTGTGGCTATAAGTGGGACAGCAACACCTCTCACTCACTATTTAAAACAGCCCTTAACTCGCCCGAAATTGTTAGTAACCTGGAAAACATTGCAGCAAACGAATTTAGCAGCACCTTGGAGGGCAATCATGAACTGAACGATGCAATTACTAACTGTCTCCACAGTGCTGCTGATATAGCGTTAAAAGTGAAAAAACCTCCTAAAACTTCCGCCCACAAGAAATGGTTTGACCCACAAATCAACTCCTCGAGGCGAAACCTGAATAGGCTAGCAAACCGGCTAGGTAGTAAGCACTGCAACAATATTCTCAGACGTGAATATTACAAGCAGCGCAATAAGCACAGTAATCTTGTTAACAGTAAGAAATTATCTTTTCTTAGGAAGTTAAATGAAGCTATTGAAGAGGGTCATATTCTTGACTGGAAAAAATTTAAAAGGCTTAAACAAGAACATGACACTAGCCCCCTACTAGACAAATTCGATCTAGCTAGCTTTCATGATTTCTTTGCATCCCTCTATAAGAAACCAGACCAGGAGCCCGATCCCACTCACCACAATCACAATCATTACCCTGAACCACCAGATCTGGATATCCTAAACAAGCTCATATCTGAACCCGAACTAACTTCTGCAATCAAAAAGCTCAAAAAGGGTAAAAGTTGCTCAAATGACTTGATCTCAAACGAAATGCTTCAGAGCCTAACTCCGCTTTGTCTCCAAGTCATCCTCAAAACGTTCAACCACTCTCTGGTCTCAGGTTACTATCCATGGCATACCAGTATTATCACTCCTATCTACAAATCAGGCAACCCCTTCAGCCCAGACAATTACAGAGCAATAGCAGTTGGCAGTTGTATGGGTAAGCTGTTCTCTAGCATTTTACTTGAACGTCTGTTATACTTCAAAAAGCTCTACTGTCCTGATCCAAAAGAACAGCTCGGTTTCTCGAAGGGTGCTCAAACTAATGATCACGTTTTCACCCTTAAGACAGTCATTGATAAATACACTAAAGTTAAAAAAGCTCGTCTCTATGCATGCTTTGTTGATCTAAGAAAGGCCTTTGACACTGTATGTAGGGACCTTCTTCTGCACAAAATAACATGCCTTGGAATTACCGGTAACTTCTTCAACTGCTTAAGTGATATGTACAAAAACTCAATTGCTCATATAAAAATCTCCAAACTCTTGTCCCCTAAAATTGATATTGGCAAAGGAACGGAGCAAGGACACCCCCTATCACCAGACCTTTTTAAAATCTATATTAACAACTTGTCATCTCTTCTGAAATCTGTTGGTGATTATCCAGTTCTTGCTGACGTTCTAATATCACATCTGCTCTGGGCTGACGATCTTGTCCTTCTTGCTCTAAGTCCCAAGGCCTTGCAAGTCAATATCAACATTCTATCTGACTTCTGTAACTCCATGGGCCTTGAAGTAAATATAAAGAAAACTAAGATTGTCATATTCAGCCCTCCCAAAAAGAAGCAGTCCCATGAAACATTTACATTGGGAGGTCAGCCCATCCAGCACACCGAAAAGTACTGCTATCTTGGCATAATATTCCACAGAAATGGATCCTTTACGGCAGCAAATACTGAGCTGAGGGCCAAAGCTCTCCGTGCTCTATATGGCCTTAAAGGCAATATAGTTAAAGATGCCCTCTCTCACCGTGCCCTTATTATTCTATTTGATTCCTTAATCAAACCAATCCTGCTTTATGGCTGTCAAGTCTTATGCCCCCACTCTAAAACAATGAGATACCTTTCAAAAATAGATGACAAAGCCAGCCCCCAGCATACCCTGAAGTACATTGCACAGGACCACTATGAGAAATTCCACCTAAAATTTATCAAGTGGTCTTTGTCCGTCCATTCAAAAGCATCAAATATAGGTTGCTGGGGCGAAAGTGGGCGCCACCCCCTATTCTTTGAAGCCTGCAAACTTGCAATAGATTACTATAGTCGCCTTGAAAGCACCGAAAATGAACTACTTTGTGCTGCATTTCACGAGCAGATCATGCTGGGCCTTCCTTGGTATACCAACATCTCAAAGCTTCTCACCAAATACAACTTCCCCCACTCATCTTCATCAAAATCTAAGCTCTCCACCCAAATCAGTCATAATATGAGGGAAGAATTCGTGAATACCTGGAAATCTGCCAAGGCCTCCTCACCAAAACTAGAATTCTATAACTTAATTAAACATGATTTTGAACCAGAGGCATACCTACGAATAATCAAAGTACCTGATTTTCGAAAAAGCTTGACAAGGTTTCGTATCAGCTGCCACAACCTCTACGTTGAAAGGGGCAGATACGAAACCCCTCTTGTACCAAGAGAAGAACGTTGGTGCACTTACTGCTTTTTCAGTAAAGGGCTCAAACCTATCGAGGACGAAAGCCATGTATTAATTGACTGTTTGCTTTACTCCTCAGTTAGGGAAAAATTCAACTTTTATCCCCAAAACATCACTGACCTAGCCGGTCTGCTCTCCAACAAAAATCTAGATCCTACCAAATTTACTGCCACAGCAAGAGCAATCCATTCAATTCTCTCTGTGAACGAACAATATACAGCCTATTATAAGAGCCCAGATTTCCACTCAAATACTGGCAAGTGCATAATGCTCTAGGAACTCAAAATAAACTCATGAACCATACAAATTTGATTTACTTAAAGAAAATAGCATTATATTATAACATTTCTATTTTATCCCTACACATTTGTAAATGATTAGAAGTGTGTAACTTAAATTATTTCAGAATTATAACTATTGTGAACTCAATAAAATAATTATCACTTTTGTATCCTTGTATCCTTGTATCCTTGTATCCTACAAGTATTACTGGCACATTGTCAGATTTTTCTGGGTGTTTCAAAAGTGACCCAAAATTACTTATTCAATTTTTCTGATAACCTCCTTCATTTGTCTAAACTTGATTCAGTAACAGTTATTGATACAACTATACTATGCATATGATTGAATGGTATTTTAATAATAATTACCGGTCCACCGGGGTTATGTAATTCTCTCTGATAAGTGTACCACCTAGACAGCATAGACCTGAGAGAGGAAGTTGTTAACTATGTTGGAAAGGATAGATTTGTTGCCCAATTTAAACTACATATAAAAACTGTAAGGTGCAAAAACCCCAAAAAAGGCAAGATCGGCAATAGAGTAAATTGAGGACGAGGCTGAAAGCCTAAGTAGGATTAGAAACAACTAAATATATACCAATTATAATCAGTGATAGACCGAGTCCTCGGCTTTACCGAGGAATGACGATTTTTCCTCGGCCTTGTATTGGTCAGAAGAATGATTCCTCGGTTTGCCTCGGCCTCGGTTAAAAATCGAGATGCCATTCCTCGGCCTCGGCAAAATTTGAAGATTTAACCGAGGATTTTTTACATATTTACCATGGAACAACATAGGCACTTTAAAAATTCTTCATTTTGGAAAATTGGTACGCAACTTTTGTTGAAAGTAAAATAGATTTTTCAAGGTTGAAAACTGTGAAGATTAAAACAATAACTATGAAAATTTAACAATAGAGCGTACATTTTAAATATAAAACTGCGAGCCAATAGGCGAAACCTTATGAAATGTCAGTTTGTTCAAAATTCATTGTCTGATGAGATTTCGATATTAGACTACTCTGATCCATTGTCTATCATGTCTGACGGTACTATCCTGAGAAATTCTACCTCATTCTACATCCTAATCGTCAGCGAAATATCTGATGCAATTAATACTTTTTCTATACCAAAATTCCTCGGCCTCAGCCTTGGTCGAAATTAGTACTCCTCGGCCTCGGTTAAATTACAATATGCCTTCCTCGGCCTTGGCTTCGGTCGCAAATCCTGCCCTCGGTCGATCACTGATTATAATATAAAAGAAATGATATATTAAGATATTGGAAAAATGAAAATAATAGAAAACAATTAACTTACAATGCTTTTTCCTGGTTTCTTGCCATTTTTCTTTCTTATCCTACTGAATAGTTTGGATGAGAATAATTATTCTCAAGTATAATATATCATGCAATCTATATTTTCAACGAGCAGAATATCACATTATTTTAGTTTGAGGACTGGGGAGGGATGAGAGGAAGCTGAATATCTGGAGAAAACTTTGTCCTACCGGTAGGATATATTCGAATTCACAAGACACGATCAAGGTACTCAAATTTCTATTTCCAAAGAAAGCTTTGACTACTCCTACAAGATTAGCCTTGCTAAAAGTCGCCTGAAAAAGGCACTTCTAAAGCTGCAACATGCTTATAATGATTCGGCATGGACCACAAGCGATTATGACATAATGCAGCTGTCATTTGAAAACAATCCCCTTCATCAAATTTAATCCAGTGATCTCGGCCCACAGGCTCCTCCTATTAAAAAAATTTTGATTTCGGTAAATGTGTGCTGACTCCACCACCTATGTAATTAACCTAATATTTAGTGTATTACAGGTAGAAATTGACTTAGTAGGTAGGTATTTTTATCTTAGGTAGATATTAAGAATTTGGTTAATTTCTTAATTGTATGACTATTTCCATTACTGAGACGTTTTTAATATTTAATTTAGAAGGGTTTTTGAAATTTTTAGGACTGGTTCACAGTGTGAACAGATTCCAGATTTATATATTTTTAAACTGATATTTAATAAATGATTAAAAGAACCAATTTTAAAGTTGCCATTAGTTCCAAAAATACACCCATTATGCTCACCTAAAAACAACTCTAAATCAGTAGGCTGTCACTCTATTAATGCACCACACCGCTACCTCCACTGCACTAATAGTTATACAATAAATTCTACAATCCTAATTTTGTATCGTGATGGAGACCGGTGTTCATACAAAACATTTACTAGGTTGCCGTTTGGTGTGAGCAATAGCGAACAGCACGAACACTCCTTTGCCCCGTCAACCTATATCTAATCTATTTAAAGAGTGACAACCATACTGCACATTGAATTAGGATTCCGTTAAATATCAAATTGATTTATTGTAAACTTGTTTAATATGTAATAAATGGCATAAAATTGAAATTTTTGTTTTTAAACTGAAATTTTTGTTTAACTGAAACGGAAAATCATCAGAATACAAAAAGAAATTTTGGAAGATATTAGAAGAGGAGCTTTTCTGCCATCCCCTTGACTGAAATTTCACAGTTTTGACTGAAATCTTGACCAGTGACCAATCAGTGAGGTTAGTGAGAGTGACACAAGTCGCCATCAACATACTGGAAGCAGTATATGTTTTGACTGAATTTTTCTTGAATGACCATCTTACAAGGTCACTGAGGTTGGGACAAGACACGATCAAGGTACTCATTTAGTTCTATTCCCAAAGAAAGCTTTGATAAACGCAAAATCGTTAGAATATAAAAAGAGATTTTGGAAGATCTTAGAAGAGGAGCTTTTTTTGCCGTCCCCTTCACTGAAATTTTGCGGTTTTGACTGAAGAAAGCTTTGAAAAACGGAAAATCATGAGAATAGGAGAAATTTTGGAAGATTTTTGAAGAGAAGCTATTCTGCCCTCTCCTTGACCGAAAATTTGTGGTTTTTACTGAATTTTTGAACAATCAGTGAGGTTGATGAGAGTGACACAAGTCGTCATCAGATCAAGGGACTGTAATCTGTTTAAACTGGTAGGACACTTTCAGATTTCAGATTTTAGTGAACCAAATTTCACTGTTTTCAATTTTCTACAATGACCAGTTAGTGAGTTCACTGTGGATGGCACAAGACACGATTGAGGTCCTGAAAGCTTAATCCAGTCAAGGCTGCACCTTCACGAGTTAAATTGGGGTTAATCATCAAGCTAAGTGGTCACAATGAATGATCAAAATTATGGTGTATTCAGCAGAGAACAACTTCGAAATCTTCCAGAGAGAAACGATGGGAATAAGTATGGATGAGGACTCCCCATCAATATGAAAACATTGTTAAGGAAGGAAAAGATTCTGTCAAAAACAAAGACAAAGACAAAGATATAAACAAAGACAAAGATATAAGCAAAGACAAAGATATAAGCAAAGACAAAGATATAAGCAAAGACAAAGATATAAACAAAGACAAAGATATAAACAAAGACAAAGATATAAACAAAGACAATGATATAAACAAAGACAAAGACAAAGGCAAAGATATAAACAAAGACAAAGATATAAGCAAAGACAAAGATATAAACAAAGACAAAGACAAAGGCAAAGATATAGACAAAGACAAAGATCCTGTTCTTGATAAAGACTGCATAGTTTGATCATTTCTCTGAGATAACAGCTGATGAATTCAAGGACCTGGTATCAAAGATGTCCAACAAGTTCTGCTGCTTGGATCTGATCCCAGCATTTCTCTTAAAAAACTGTGTTGCTGAATTGACACCTTTTCTACTCCACGTCTTAAACTCATCCTTAAAGACTGGAATCTTTCCCTCAGATACGAAGAAAGCAGTCATCAAGCCGACCTTAAAGAAGGAAAATGCTGATGTTGATATTTTCAGTAACTATCGACCAGTCTCTAACCTCTCTGCCTTCAAGATCCTAGAGAGAATTGTACTAAACCAGCTCTATGTCCATCTCACGAATCATAGCCTTTACTCAGAAGTCCAATCTGGATACCGCCCTAATCACATGCACAGCTGTGAAACATTACTTGTAAGAATGTGTGATGATCTTAACAAAGAAATTAAAGCTGGGAACGTTGTTATAGTTGTACTTATACATGAACGTTGTTATAGTTGTACTTCTCGACTTAGGTGCAGCGTTTGATACCATCAACCACACAGTCTTACTGGAAAAGCTTATGAAAGACTATGGAATTACTGGAAGTACACTGCAATAAGTAAGTAAAGTAAAAAATTATGACATAACATCATCACACATGTCTACAAAGTATCAAATCACTATATGAAAAAATATAAATATCTTACCACCAAAATTAATGGATAAAGAGTATTTGTTTAGAGTTCCCCAGGGATCACTCTTGGGACCAATTCTCTCCATCATCTATATCATAGCTCTCCAGAATATTGCTGCTAAATATGGTCTTGATATACAGCTCAATGCAGATGAATCCCAACTGTACATCTCGTTTCAAACTAACCGTGTGGTACAGTTCACTGATGTCCAAGACAGAACAAACAGATGTCTTGCAGAGATAAAAGCATGGATGGTGAACAACTACATGAAACTGAACGAAACAAAGACAGAATTATTGGTGTTAGGAAAGAGCCATGATCTAAAAAAGTGTGAAATCAGGGTCAGACTGCAATTTGGAAGCACTCAAATTCTACCTATGGAGTGCAAAGAAGACAGCTGGAAGAGTCTGAGTGTCAAATTCGATGAAACCTTAAATATGGAAAGACAGATCAATAATGTCAAAAGAAAATGTAGTTGGACAATGATGAACCTAAGAACTATTAGTTGTTACCTGGATGAAGGCATTAAATTGATGTTGGTGAGACAACTGGTTATATTTAGATAAGATTACTGTAATTCTCTGTACATGAATCTACCCAAAACCAGATTAAACAAACGTAGATGATCATCTATAACATAGAAGACAGAACCACGGACTTGGTTCCCTTCTATAAGAAGGCCCACATACTCCCTATAGACCAGCGAATCTTCTTCATAGTTTGTCTATTAACCCAAAAATCAGTGCACGGTACTGCACCTGATTACATTAAAGCATTACTGGATGTGGATGTAGTGGATATAGAACTTTCAAACGCCATGACCAGGTCGAAGAGACCTGGTGACCATCTCAAGCTCAAGGTACCAAAGAATAAAAAGTCCAAAATTGATGACAGACATTTCTCAAGCCATGCACTGATTACAAGGAACTCTCATCCATTGATGTTAAGATGTAATACTAATATCAACTTCATCAATAAAATTCACAAAGGATTCATGCGACGTATGAAAGACTATTTGGTTCAGCGCTCGATTTTCATATTATTTATGGTGTAAATTATAATTTCGAAAATATGCGCGGCGCGCCTAAAATTATACTTAATACTACAGTTTCATTTAGAATAATATTTTTATTCGATCATATTTGTATTGTATCTCAAAAAAATTGTCTTTTCTCAATGGGCTTATAAATGTAAATAAAAACCTTAATACATGTTGCAAGTAGTGTAAGGGGAGTTTTTCGAGCTGTATTCACCCCAAAAATTGAGGTACATTTAGCTTTAGCACAGTTGACTAATCTGCCAGATTTTTTAGCCGGAGATTACAAGTTCGAATCCCAGTTGAAGCCATTCTTTTCTGCTTGATTGGTGCAGCGGTTTCAGGTCATCATCTTCGCCTGTCACATGACTTATCTAATCACGTGACTTGTGTAATTGAAGATGAAGCTGTACATTTATTTAATTTGATGATTCGTATTCTATTACAGATAGTCTCTAGATATAAATGAAACACCAAGTATCACTATCAACAGCGTTAACATCTGGCACGCGGCGACCTTTTATTTGTAAAGTGTGCTGATAAAGTGAGATAATGAATAATGTGCTTTCTAAATTTAACTAGGGACAGAGTGTACCGTTTCAGGACAACACCTGCAACTTTGCTTACACTATCATTCAGCGTTCAACTGTGTGTTGCGTAAATTTTGACTCTGCTTCAGCTTTAATTGTTATTATCTTTAACTTTAAGGTTAAGTTTTTAATTGTTTTACCGTAGTCGGTCACGTAACACTGACTGTTTGATATGAAATCTAATTTATAAAGAGCACTTTCAGGATGCGGATGGTTACTCTACAGCAGCTCAAGAATACTACGTCATTGTATAGCCATAAGCCTTGTACAGCATAGTTACAGTAACATCTGTGCAATGTATTTGACACAAATCTCTTGTCAAGAACTGGTCTAGATATTTTCTACTTTCTAAAATTATATCATATGAATGAATACTGAATGATAATTATAATGTATTATTTAAATAAGTTATAATGTAGACAAGGAAACACACGTTTAGATTTTTGAAGATA